GGTTACTTGACATAACAGATTCAAAATAAATGTGTGCATACTTGACATAACAGATTCAAAATCTTTGTTCTGCATTGTAATTTCTGTGTATGCTATTCGACCTTGACTATGTTTTTGTGGTTTTGCTAGAGCAATATCTCGAGCAGTCTCAGCCATTTTGTGTTTTCGTGCACACGGTTTGTGGTTGTGAAAGTGATACAGTGTTCAGTGATTCTCTACTAAGTCTAGATTGTAGAAGACTGATCCAGATTCCATAAGGTCTGTTCTGTGCTCAGCATATGAAATCAACCACCTCTTCATTTCAGTGTCGAGAAGAGAGATGATCTTTTGTGAACTAAAGGCTGAGGAAATTCAGCACTTCAGTGTCATACTCAGAAAGAAATCCAAGATAAGAAAGCAGAAATCTCGTGGGGGATTACTTCGGGTCAGTACCCTATAACTACAATGGCCACAGTGATGAAGCTAGGCTATTCCCATCTGATTCTGCTTCAAAACATTCATGTGAGACTCCCACACCTGAAGACCAGACTGACATACTACAGAACATCCACTGTAACATCTTCACTGCTAGATCACTTGAGAATTTCCCACAACATTACTAAAGTAAGCCCTGATGTTTCATACTTTACACTTTGTAGACTCATTTCTGTTGCACATTACACATACATACTGCATTAAGTGATAGTATGGTACAATGGTAGTTATAAGCCTGTGTGTGCCACCTGTCAGATAAATGAGGAGGAGAGGGTGTGAGGAAATTTTATGAGTATTATGACCTTGAAGGTGAGAATGATTTCATCTTTTTAAGGTTATGGACTGACAAGTCTGACACTAACTTTGATTTAGATTAAAATCTAAATGGTTTTAATGTCCTTGTTGGGCAAATGGCTTATTTATCATATAAATTTATCAAAATAATATAAAGTCTGACCACATAACACCAGCTTTAACCCATAACCTACCAGGCCATTTTGTCTTATCATGAGGCAAAATCACGTTTGTTTATTGGAAAAATTATAGAGAACTTATCTTCCATTGGATTTCAGGTAGGAAAGAAACTGATCCACAATTGTTAGGGTTAAGAACTATCGAGTAGTGAGTACATGGTGAATTAGGCTTAGCACTTCGAACTGAAAGAGTTTTTGATTTCTTATAGTCTTTTACATTTAAATTTGTAGTTTTAAGTTCAATAATTTAGTGTAATTTTATGTTTAATTCATAATAATAATATGATTCAGTATTTAGAATGATAAACTTGTGTGAGTTGTACGTAGTACTACTAGTACCAGTATCAAATAAGAATTTTATATTTTTTCTTCTTACAATCTTTACTTTGTAGTAAGACCCACATTCCTGTTGTTGTTGCTTTATAATTAAAACAGTCTAACTGATATATATAAAGGTTATTCTAATATTTTGCAAATGGTTTAAAACTCAGTGTACAAGTGACAACAATAAAACCCATATGTTGGTTGTGAAACAGGCTAAATATATTTGTCTCAATAATACAGGGAAGCTATGACATTCTCACAGTTGGGGTCTCGATACACTGAAGAGCTTATGTTTCGAATTCCAGTATAAATCTTGTCAATAATGAGAGGAATGTGACCAGGACTAATGTTTTAAATGCTGTAAAGTAATTTTCTTTGTAATTTATGGTGTCTGTATCATTTGGTAATCTCTTGTAACAGGATGTATCAAGTAACTAGGGTCAGGTGGTGTTATTCAAGCCACCTGTATGGTAAGCTATTACATACATTCACCAGCAATGGCAATTAGTTTTGTCTGTATAGTGAAACAACATACAAGGACATATGTTGAAATAAACTTGTTTGAAAGTTCAAAGAAATGATATTCAAGTACTGAAAAGCTTTCTAACTATCATATCAAGATCTTTTTCCATTCAATAGAATGGCAGAACTGGAAAAAAGATTTTCTACAGGTACAGAAATTGCACTCTTGGTGAGAGCAACTTTTGCAAGTGGAGCGAACGAGGAAAATGTTTCTTTCTTGTCTTTCCAAAATTCCAATGGAAATGTGGCTGTCCAGATACTTTTTCACTTGTTCTATCAAGTAATCTTGGCCACCAATGTACTTCTTACACTGCTTTTGAAGTATTTTCCACAGGTTACTTTGAGGTTCTTCATTTTCCAAGTCCACAATGTGCTCAGAAGATTCTGAACTGGAGGTTGGATTTCCGTACACTATCATGCCTGTTGATGCTCACTCTCGTTCAGTCCAGCGCAGGCGCATTTGAACATTATTGTACCCTTGCTCCTTACAAGGCAAGTGCCTTTTATTAGAGCCAACTTTCATAACTACTTTATACTGATGTAAATGTTGTCTGTCATTACCACAGTCCACAAATTAAAAATGTTGTCTGTCATTACCAGAGTCCACAAATAAAAATGTCTGTCATTACCAGAGTCCACAAATAAAAATGTTGTCTGTCATTACCAGAGTCCACAAATAAAAATAATAACTACATCACAGGATTTAATTTACTATTTTTAGATGAAAATATTTATTTTATTACATGTATTTCACAGAACAATAGGATTGCAAGGTGGTGGGGAGGGTTTCAAAAGATGTATCAAGTGGTTCTTCTCGTGGTTTTATTTTGTCAGTACAATCACAATTCTGATTTTACAGACTTCATAATGAAGACAATTAAAAAAGTCTCACAAAATTTAAGACAGATGTAGTCATACAGATACAGAAGTTAGTATATGAGAAATTTGTTACAAAGTTAACTAACTATGAAAGTGCTTGGGAATGTCATTTCTTAGGCTTGTAGGATGATTCCTTCTCTCCCTGTATTATTAGTTGACAGCAAGTCAGATGTTAAAATTATCAACTTTGTTATTCGTTAACTTCATAACTAGTTGATGAGTCGGTTGACAAGTGCTCAAGTCAGTCATTAAGAACTTAGCAACTGATTCTGGGGACAAACTATGACATCCAGCCCATACCTGTTTTTCTACTGTCATGTTGTATGTGATGTACACATGGTTATACCGTCACGTTGTATCTAATGAATCTATGTGTATACTGTCATGTTTTGTCTAATGCCCTTATGGTTATACTGTCATGTTGTATCTAATGTATCTGTGGTTATACTCTCATTCTATATCTAACATAACTATAATTATACTGTCACATTCTATCTAATGTAGCTATGATTATACTGTCATGTTGTATATAATCTACCTGTGTTTCTACTGTCATATTGTATCTAATGTATCTATGGTTATACTGTCGCGTTGTATCCAATGTATCTATGGTTATACTGTCACGTTGTATCTAATGTATCTATGGTTATACTGTCACATTGTATCTAATGTATCTATGGTTATACTGTCACGTTGTATCTAATGTATCTATGGTTATACTGTCACGTTGTATCTAATGTATCTATGGTTATACTGTCATGTTGTATCTAATGTATCTGATTATACTGTCATGTTGTATATAATCTACCTGTGTTTCTACTGTCACATTGTATCTAATGTATTTATGGTTATACTGTCACGTTGTATCTAATGTATTTATGGTTATACTGTCATGTTGTCTCTAATCTACCTGTGTTTCTACTGTCACATTGTATCTAATGTATTTATGGTTATACTGTCACATTGTATCCAATGTATCTATGGTTATACTGTCACGTTGTATCTAATGTATCTATGGTTATACTGTCACGTTGTATCTAATGTATCTATGGTTATACTGTCACGTTGTATCTAATGTATCTATGGTTATACTGTCATGTTGTATCTAATGTATCTATGGTTATGCTGTCACGTTGTATGTGATGTACCCATGGTTATACTGTCATGTTGTATGGGATGTACCCATGGTTATACTGTCATGTTGTATCTAATGAATCTATGTGTATAGTCATGTTGTATCTAATGAATCTATGTGTATACTGTCATGTTGTATCTGATCTACCTGTGTTTCTACTGTCACATTGTATCTAATGTATCTATGGTTATACTGTCATGTTGTATCTAATGTATCTGTGGTTATGCTGTCACATTGTATCCAATGTATCTATGGTTATACGATCACGTTGTATCTAATGTATTTATGGTTATACTCTCATGTTGTATCTAATGTATCTATGGTTATACTGACAACATTAGTTATTATTGATCATCTTTTGTTTTAGAACACATTTGTCAAAGTCAAAACTGAACAAAGTGTTGATTCAACAAATGATGACATTATTTCCAAGTTCAGTGAGAGTGATGATGAAACTGTTGATTGTTCACAACATGATGTTATGAGTGTGAAAAAAGAAATTGAACCAAAAGAAGAGTTTCAACAAATTAACTCTGAGTTAGAAGGTTTATCAGGTGAGTGTAAACTTCAATAACTCTATCCATTAACCATGTGATGGTAGACATACTAGTAGAAAAATTTTGTAACTGTATCATATTAATTGTGTTAAATAATATTAATAATGTACAGTTTTTATAGAATAAAGTTTGTAACACAGTAGTTTTCAGAGTTTATCTAGAGTTATATTAAATTTGTTCAGTTATGCTCCTGGTTACAAGGTCTTTAAGTAAATGTCAAGCCTACTCTGTTGTCACTTTAGTTAAGCTTCATTTATTAATTCTTTCACTACAAGCAGGTCAAAGTGTGCATGTCAAGATTTTCGAGATAGTTACATTCAAAATTAAATTTTACTACATTATTATCATTGTATATGAATAAATTTGGTATCAAAATGTAACAAGTAAATGTTATGTTATGTAAGTTTTAAGTTCTAATAAGGGAATATTTTAAAAAATAGCCACTTTCTGCTCCTTCTACCATATATCTGATTCTCCTACTTTCTTATGCTTGTAGTGAATGTTACCATTACCTTATCTTTACATCTGATATTCCATTTCACGTTTCTTCCTTGATTTTTTATTCACTGTCTGCTCATTTCTTCCTAGGACTTGGACATGAGATCGTACCTTTACTCCTCCATTTCTTCCTAGGACTTGGACATGAGATCGTACCTTTACTCCTCTATATCTTCCTAGGACTTGGACATGAGATCGTACATTTACTCCTCTATTTCTTCCTAGGACTTGGACATGAGATCGTACCTTTACTCCTCCATATCTTCCTAGGACTTGGACATC